TATAAAACTCTCAACAAAACCAGGAATTGATGGATACTTTTTAAACATGATAATAATCCTCAGAGTTAAAAACCTCTTAATGGAGAAATTCTAGTGTTTTTCCTGCTTAAGGCAGAGTCAAGAATAAGACAAGGAGGCCCCCAAGGAAAACTATTCTTGTTTTCCTTCTACATAGATTAAATCTTATCCATAGATCTATAGGACAGCTAAGGAATAATAAAAGCTTAGAAAATAATAAAAATTCAAATAAAGCATGCTTTGCACCACTACCTGCAAGTGTTGTGAGTTAATTTTCTAAATGTAATTTTTAATAGTGTAGGTACTGAGACATTCATCCACTATCTCCACCACTACTTAACATTGTGCTGGAGGTATTAGTTAGTCAGTGAAATTAGACCAAAAAACCCCACTTTAATTAGCAGTAAATAATTGGAAAGGGAGAAGCAAAATGATCTTTTAGATTATATGGGATGAATGTCTGGAAATCTCAAAGACATCAATTGAAAAACTTTTAAGTAATAAAAGAATGTCAGATTATAAAATCAGCATATAAAAAAGCAAGTTTTATACATAAAACAAAAACTATTTCATAGATACATGGAAAAGAAGATTACACTTACTGTTGCCAATAAAATAAAATGATGAAATGAAATAGAATGGAATGAAGTAAAAGAAAATACCTGGATAGATATTTAACTAGATCTATAAAAAAGACTATAAAAGGAAAATTATAAACATTCCCCCCAAAATGCAAAAGTAAACTTGAACAGATGAAAAGATATACTATGTTCTTGGATAGGAAAATTCAACATCATAAAGTTGTCATTCCTCTTTAAATTAGTTTATAAATGTAATGCAATCCAAATAAAATACCATTAGGTTTTTAATTTTTTATAATTAACCAGACAAGTTGACTAAAAATTTCATTTGGAATAATAAACAAGAAAGAATAGCCAGGTAAAGAAGAAAAATAAAGAATGGACTAAAGCAGGCTGATAATAAAAACCACATAAAACCTATGTAATTAAAAGAGGGCGGTTTGTGTACACAAATAAACAGAGCAACAGATCAGAATAGAAAATCCAGAAATAGATTACATACGCAAATCAAGGTGAAAAAGAGATGGACTTTCAAAAATTATTGCTGGGAAAACTGGCCTTATGTAAAGATTTAATTAGATCCATTCCTCACACTGCACATAAAAATAAACTTCAACTGTATTAAAAATTTAAATGTAAAAAATGACACCCTAAATGTGCCAGGGAGCAAGCTTTCAAAACTACAACTCAAAACTGAGAAGCAATCATGGAAAAGATTGATACACTTGATAACATAAATGCAAACAAATTTTGCATGACAGAAAAAAATCTACCATAGGAAAAGCAAACAACAAAAGACAAATATGGAAAAAACATTTGCTGTTTATATAATGGACAAAGTATTTATCCCTTATATAAAATGAGCTTCTAAAAATAGAGCAGTAAAAGATCAATAACCCGACCGGGCGCAGTGGCTCAAGCCTGTAATCCTAGCACTCTGGGAGGCCGAGGCGGGCGGATTGCTCGAGGTCAGGAGTTCGAAACCAGCCTGAGCAAGAGCAAGACCCCGTCTCTACTATAAATAGAAAGAAATTAATTGGCCAACTAATATATATATATAAATTAGCCTGGCATGGTGGTGCATGCCTGTAGTCCCAGCTACTCGGGAGGCTGAGGCAGAAGGATTGCTTGAGCCCAGTAGTTTGAGGTTGCTGTGAGCTAGGCTGACGCCACGGCACTCACTCTAGCCTGGGCAACAAGCAAGACTCTGTCTCAAAAAAAAAAAAGAAAGATCAATAACTCTATGGAAAAATCAGCTAGAGATAGACATGATTCACAAAAAATGAGATGCAAATATCTTTGGCCATAAGAACAAAATTGGATTGATAAAAACCCAAGTCTAATAATATATTCTGAGTGTCAATAAGCTGGAGTTTTTGGCATCTGAAAAAGGAATACAATGTAAGATGAAGAAGGATAAGTAAAAATGCAGTGCAGTGGCGTAAATTGAAATTTATTTTTTCTCAAAAAAATATCCAACATACTCAAAAAATACCACCATCTTTTCAATGCAAAGAAATAAAACCGATCACCAGTCCAATGATAATTAGTAGCTGTAGGATTCAGATTGTGCTCTTTAAATCACATTTCCCAGTATAAGGAACCAGGTCTCTGGAGAAATGGATGATTCTACGTCTGGCACACAAAATGTACAGGGTTAGTATGGGACATCTTGTCATAACCAGAAATCAGGGAAGCTCAAGGAAGTTATAAGAGTATGTACCAAGGTCTGCTGAAAAGGAAACATTTTGAAGTTGCTCCCACTGGCTAAATTTTGAGCAACGATAAGGACAAAATGTCAATGAATTGTAACACATCAAATATATTTAAATCCCTGACTTTTAAATGGTACTAAAAACATCACATTGGTTACCTTTGGAAGATTTAGGGAACCCATTCATTATTTTGAAGAATGGCAAGTAGAAAAGAAATATCAGCATTTACCCTGCCTTTCCTGTACTAAAAGTTCTTCAGGGTAAACAAAAATTGATGAAGGGAAATTTCTCTTAGAGATGGATTCTAGGAAATATATAGAAAAGAAATAAGAGAAATAAAATATCATTTTGCAATCCTTAATGAATTAATGGACCCAAGCAATTATCATTAATGGTTGCCAACACTACCCAAAGACAGTTAGACATTATATGTCCTCTTTATTGAATTTCACATTACCGCTATGAACCATTCTTGCCAAAAAATTGAACCTGAGTCTGATCAAATCTCTACATCTAATTACCATTTTGCAAGGTCACAAGGAACAGCAGAAGATGTTAAATGACAGACACCATGGGGTGTCAAAACCTGGACTGAAGAAAACTCTGTAGGACAATCATTATTTTCAACCGCAATAGCAACAATGAAAAATGGCAAAGGAAGAAAGGATAGAAAGTGAGAACTTATAGATTAAAGAAATATGTCAACCAATAACAATGTATATAGACCTTATTTGAATCTCAGCTAAACAAAATAAAACAAAATCTTCCAAACACTAATAGCATATTTGATACTATTAACTGTTAAAAATTTGTAGGTATAATAAAGGTATTGTGGTTTTGTTTTTAAGAATAATCTTTATCTTTTATCTTAGAATCTTTAGAATATTTATGGGTTAATTATGTTTTCTTAGATGTGTTTCAAATAATCAGGGAAGGGGGGAGTGCTTAGGGTACAGATGAAACAAAATTGGTTGTGAGTGATTATTGTTGAAACTGAATATTGGATATATAGGGGTTTATTATGCTCTTCTGAATTTGAATGAAAAATTAGGGAATGTCTTTTTTCTTAAAACACTAGTCAGACTTTAGGAGTAGAAGGCATAAACCAAGCATAGGAGATCTTCCAAATGCTTTTTGGAATTGCTAATGTCCTAAACACACTGTGCCAAATACTTTTCCACTTATTTGACAAATCATGTGTATTTTAATGTAATAAATTAAAATTTAGATCCTACTAAGTTCACTCAAATATTCTAGTATGAAAACTATTTGATGTTTAATTTCTACTCATTTATCAAAAATCCAAAACCTAAACAAATGCCTATCTGTTAAGTCGTATTCTACTTGAAATTTGAAGTTGTCATTGTAACAAATAGACAAAAACAGCTGCTTGAAAAAAACAGTTTCATTTATTGCATAGGAAACCACCTGAAAACGTATTGGCTTAAAACAATCATTTGACTATGTCTCATAGTTCCTCTCCTAGGTGGTTCTTCAATTCTTGCTTGACATTTCTCACACAGTTTCAGAAGATGGCAGGAGCTGCAGCTGTGGCCAGTGCTGGATGTCTCAGCTCTCAGTGCTCCTCATGGTGCCTCTCTCTCCATGTGGTGTCTCTGCTTTCAGAGCCTAACCCCATGCCCTCTTTCTCCAGCAGGGTGTCTTGGGATTCTTACATAGCAACTCGAGGCTTATGGAAGGAAGCAGAAGCCACCAGGCCTTCTTATTGCTTGGGCTTGGAAATCCCAGAACATTGTTCCACATTGCATTGGTCAAAGCAGTCACAGAGCCAGCCAAGATTCAAGGGGAGGAAAATACACTCCCTCTCTTGATGAAAGCAGCAGCATATGCATAAAAGGGTGGGGTAGGATGGTTTGGGGCTATCTTTGGAGACTAGCTAACACAATCAGTTTGTGTGCAAAGTAGAGCAAGCCTACTTACCAAAGCCTACCTCCCATCACCTGGGATTTAATACATAATGTGTGTGTGTGCTTGTGTGTTTGTGTGTGTGTGTCTCTCTCTCTCCAGTACTATATACAATATATATCTAACCTAATTTTATCTAGCTAGCTAGCTAGCTAACTTACAAAAGAATTATGCTTTGATATCAGCTCAGCCAGGTGGGCCTACAAATTAATAATTAACTTATAGCTCCATTTTGGGGGATTTGAAAGGAAAAATTACATACACTATAGGAGGAGTGTGGAAGCAGCTGACTGGGGGCTAAGAGAGCATACAAGCTATAATTTATAACTATCCAGTCCCCTACTTATCTCACAGACATGGGTGAAGTTTCTAAACCAACCACCATCTCATGGCTGACTTTATACATGGCTTTTCCTGGGGGAAAATACTTTATCTTTGTTTTTGGCATTCCTTCCCTGATTCGCCTTTTCAGTTGTTTGGGGACTATGATTTTAAACCCACTAAATGCAGGCAACAATGGACTCCTTTCTTAGCTACTTGTAAAAGGTCATATGGAAAATGAGCATGAGCAGAGGGGTTCAGACTAGATGGGGAGCACATGCAGAAATGGATGCATTTAGCACGTTGTTTGTTAGCGTTAACCCTTTGCTCACGCAGAAAAAAAGGAGACAGTGTTCCTATCGTTGGGATAGTTTTGAATTAAATTTGTGTGAAGTAGAAAACAGGAATGAATCACTAAAATGTTAACTTGTTCTGTTAGCGCTGGGAGCTCTGGGAAGACCCAATATGGAGGTGGCTTGTGAGTCCACGAAGAGGAGGACACTCAGGAGACAGGTCCAGAATTTTCCTCTCAGGTGGCAGGACAAGAAGCAGATAAGAGCTGCAGGAAGACCTCTCAAGGCCTCTAGCATGATAAAGACTATGCCCTTCCAACACTGGCCAAAAGAAAAATAATAATAAACTACAAGTAAGCATAAATAAGTATAAGATAATAGAAAACATTTTGAGTTTTATTCTGACTTTTTCCATGTGATTAATAGCTTTTGTAAAAAATTAAATATCCAATTCTTATGAAGATTTTTTTTTCTTATAATTTAATGTTCTTGCTTTGTTGGGGGCCTAAACACTTGCGTTACTTTTGGATAATACAGGACTGGCTCAGATCCATCTTCTCAGGAAGTCCAAGAAATGATTTGCCAGGAAACCTGGTGGGATGGTTTGGCCACAGATGTAGTTTATTGACTGATACTTTTACACTGATCTAAGAGTACTGTTTACTTTTGGTTGGAATATGGCTGCTTTTTGGAGAAACTGGTGAAGTTAGGTCATCCTAAGTTTTCTGGAAAATATTTTATTATAATAGACCTAGCTGTACATCGGAGGATTATAATACCTCATGGATCATCTGGTGGAAAACCTGGTCTTCAATGCCACTATTTCCAGCAGCGGTCATAAAAATACTTTAATCCATGTCCCACATGTAGGTTTCTAAATTTGTAAAATTCTGGTTTATGATTGCCGTGTATAATCAAGAAGGGACTTGAACACATGTGAGCTATAAGAAACTCTTTTGTAAAGCAGTGAAACTAATGGGTTTAAACAAATACTTTGGGCAGCTTTGTCGAGCATACATGCAAAAAGTAAGTTTGCTTCACTAGTAAGGGATACAGAAAAATCCAAGCCCTCTGACCTAACCATGAGACCCACACATGAGCATAAATCATCATCATCATCATCATCATCATCATCATCATAAGTTTTTATAAATCCAGCATGTCTTTCTACCAGGATGGAGCAAGAGATTAAATACACATTGTACATAATAATGTCTGGAAGGCTGAGCACTTGTGCAGTTTGAATTAGATTTTATGAAACTAATGCATGGAATCGATGCTTTCATTTTAAATGCACAAGTCTTTTTCTGCTTATATCTTTTTTCTTCTCTCTTTTTCCCTCCCCTTCCTCCCTATCTTAGCACCCCTCCTCCCTACTTCTAAAAGAAGAGAACACTGTTCTCAGAACTCTCTCAGGCTTTCTTAATTGAAAGCAATGATTCTGAGTCACTCCTTTATATTAAGTGAAACACTCTTGCGTGAATCTCCAGGGATGAAGTAATTAGCCCAGCAAGAAGCCAGCGGACTCCAGTTGTCCCTGCAAGTGGTGGAAAGAATTAAATACAATTTTGCAAAGATAACACTGAAAGAATGGTATTTTCTTTCAAAACATGTCCCTCTCTGAAACATCAGTGCAGACATACGTCAAGATAGAAACTGGATCATATTTCTAACAGTTGAAGACTCAGATTTCCTCAAACAAGACTGTTTGTTCTCATGCCCAAACTGTATCCTACACTGTCCCGTTGTCTGGACTATAATGGAATACAACATTAACTTCGGACAGTGGAGGCCGAGTTGGTGCCAACCTTGCTAATGAACATATGGTTTCAATACTAATGTGGCTACTTGCACATTAGGTGGCAAGGTGCCAGGTATGTACTTAATATCGAGGGGACAACTGATGTAAAAAGGACCATCTCCTGATATGATTGCATTTCCAAAAGTGCTCTGCATCCAGATTGAGACTCGGCAAAACAGAAAAGTGTCACTCTGCATCAGGGAGTTTAAAGCACTGCCAGATGAGGAGGAGCCCCGCAGAGACCACGCACACACTCTGCCAGCCTGAAGCATCCCAGGGCCTGGATGATAATGAAATGGATAACACTGCAGTGTGGAAAAACTCCGCCTGGCCCAGGAGGGTGGAGGGAGGGGAAGGATTAGGATCACACCCTGCTTCAAGTTCCTGGTGTTCTGGACTCTGGGACTTGAGGGTCTGAAAGTTAGAAGACAGTGAAATGAATTACAGTTTAACGATATTCCCACTACACTGACAAAATGGATTCAATTACATAATGGTAGCATTAAATGTTATTAAGAAGGGATCCAAAGTCTTGAGGCCAGACTTTCACAAAATCATGATAAGCTGCTAAAAACAGCTGAAATAGCACATTTATAGGCTTTCCAGCCCTCGGTTTGTTGAAGGGGAAAAGAGTTGTTACATTTGCTCAAATTTTCTGCGGTGCCGGCCTATAATCAGGAGATTAGTACGTGGACAGGGGTGTCAGGACATATCTGATTGGATTATTATATCTTAAAGTACAATTTTGTTTTTCAGAATGCTTTTGTAAAGTACAGAGTTAAATGGCTTGCCTGAGGTCTTGGCCTGGGGATGGCTTGGTAGGGTGTGATTTTTTTTGGTGGCAGAACTCTTGTAGGGTGACCAGGTGTATAGAGGATGGACTGGTTTTCTTCAAGCCTATCTTCTCTTTTGTATAAGTGACCTTTTATTTTTGTTTTATTTTTAAATTTGCATACTATAAAATTCACTCATTGTGGTTTTGACAAATGTATCCGCCACCACAATCAATATACAGACAGTTCTGTCACTTCCAAAAAATGTCTCATGCTGCCTGTTTATAGTCAGTCTCCTCCCCTTCTCCACCCCCTGCCCACTGCCCATCTGTTCTCCATTCCTGTAGTTTTGCCTCTTCCTGAATATCCTATGGATCTATAATGTATAGTCTTTTGGGTCAGGCTTCTTTTGGTTGGCAAAGTGCATTTGAGATTCTTTGGTGTTGTTTCACAAATCAATAATTTATTCCTTTTTGTTGCTGAGTGGTATTTCATTGTATGCATGTACCAGTTTGTTTATCCATTCACTCATGGAAGGACATTGGTGCTATTTCCAGTTTTTGTGATTATGTATTAAGCAGTTATAAATATTTGCATACAGGTTTTTGTGTGAACATAGGTTTTCACTTCTCTTGGGTAGCATCCTGGGAGATTGCTGGGGCATGTGATAAATATGGGTTTAACTTTATAAGAAATGGCTACATTGTTTTTAAAATATATTTTTATATATTGCTACCTTAAATTTGCTACTATTCAGGATTTTTGTGACTATGTTCATATAAAAATTCACTGTTAATGATTTTCTCTAAGCAATGCTTTAGATGTGTCCCACAAATTTTGATATGCTGTGTTTTCATTTTCATTTAGTTAAAAACATTTTTAGTTTCTCTCAAGACTTTGTCTTTGACTCATGTATTAGGTAAAAGTGACTTGTTTAATTTGAGCGATTTATAGATATCTTTTATTAATTTCTAATTAACTTCAACATAGTTAGAGAACATTCTTACTGTGATTTCTTTTAAATTTGGTAAGATTTGGTCTTATGAAGCAGGATATGATCTATCTTGTTGAATGTTATAAGTGCACTTGAATGGGTATTCTTCTGCTGTTGGGTGTTTACAGTTTCAACATTTGTATCATACGTAAGTCTGGTTCTGTTGATTTACTACTGATGATGTGTTGTTTTTCTTGCTTTATTTTTGTCTGCTTTATAGTTTTTTGGTTGAAAGCTGAATACCTTCAGTAGGACAGTGGATATGTTAAAGTAAGTGTTTTTTATACCTAGAAATGAGCACAATTCCTTCTGCTAGGACTTTAATGTGGATTATTGAGTCGATTTAGTTAGCAGTTGAGTCGAAATTGGGGACTGTGGTCACTCTGTTTTCCTACAGTGCACCACAGACTTCAAATTCCTTTAGTGATACTTTGTGTTTGGGCAGGGACTGGTTTGCCAGAAGGCTTTTTCTTAATATCCATCCTCAGTTGTTGGTCTTTCTTTTACAAAGTGCCTCAGAGAGGGTCTTTTTCTATACTCATTTAATTCTTCCGGCATTACTACACTGTTGCTTGTTACTTGATGCTTGTTAGAGTGGTGGTGTGGGGTCAGGAGTCAATTCTTTGTTCTTCTCATCAGGCTTGTTTTAGGTAGGCACTGTATCCTGAGAGGCCTTTTTCTATACTTTTACAACATGTTATTTTTTACTTTGAAAAGTATAAAGTCCATTCTTAAGGATATGGAGGAGCAGGAAGGAGGTATCTTGAGGTATCTTGTACTTTAATCTAAAACTCATATTTGAGCACCTACCATGTGCCAGACCCAGTGTCAGATGCTCAAGATGCAAATGTGACTAAGATTTGGCTCATCCCATTCTTCATCTTTGTAGAAGAGAACCACAGACTGGTACACATGACAACCTAGTGTGTGTCATGATAGGAGTAGACCCTCGGTGCTTTGAAACCCAATAGAGAGGCCTTTTTGCTCAGTGTGGTTTGGAGTGATGATCAAGAAATTCTCCCTAGATGTAACCCATCCAGACAGCCATCTCCAGGAAATCTTACTTTGTGCACCTTTAGACAAGAGACAGTGGTTTGAAATGAGACAGGGAAAGGCCTGAAGATTTGAAGTAAGGATATAGGAGGTAGACGAGGAAACTATGGAGAAACATGGTGCCTTCTGGAAGTTATAATCTCCACATTACTTCAGGTATCTTCATGGTGTTCTCTCTAGAAAAATCAAGAGTTTTTGATTCGGATAAATCTGGTATCTGCAGTTTGAAGTCTGGCTTTCTTATTTACAAGCTGAGGAACTTTGAGGAAATTTCCTTTCTAAGGATCCATTTCCTTACACATAAAATGTCAAAGATGCTTCCTATCTGATAGAATTGCTGCAAACATTATGTGAAGCACCAGGCTTTTAGAAGACCCATAATGAAGAATTATTGCTATTGTTGTTATTCATACCCACTAAATTGAATTTTTTAAAATCCTTTATGTACTCTGATGTTAAGCTCACCCCAAGATCTTCTGAGGAGTTACTTAGAAAACAGAAGCATCTGCCTTTCCTATAGAAGTTCTTCCCAGAGTGGATGATTCTGTGCAAATGGTGAGGGAGCAGCTTCCAACTCAAACCCCCAAAATATTTAAAGACTCAACTCCTGTGGTTATCTCTCCAAAGTTCTGAAATCTCAGAGTTTTCTCCAGTAAGCATATAGGCCCTATCAAGTTTATCAGCTTGTAATGTCTTGGTCTTGTGTACCCATGTGGTACACTAAACCACCAGACTGGAATGTGATACTGTATTTCCTGGGCAGAATTAAGAGTGAGCTCTCAGGCTCCTGCAATCAGGGGCAAGAAGGCTGTAATTGAAATGTCACTCAACAATCATGCCAAGAATAATGGAAACTGAAATGACTCCCATGCTCTGTGGTGAGTGTCCTCCTGTGGGGATTAGCAAGATGGTCAGAGGATGAGCAGAAGGCAGCACTGGATCTCTTAGCCCTTCCTTCCTTCCTTCAGCATATAATCCCATGTTTTAGAAATGGATGACCGGTGATGTGGCCATGACTACTTCTTCCTTAGAAAACAAGAATTTGTCTTCTTCCCAAATAGAGACTTTAGTTAAGATTACAGGAGCTGGGTGGAGGAGTACTTCTGTGCCAGTCTTCATTCTTTCATTTGTCATTCATTCATCTATTCATCAGAAATGTATTTAGTACTTTGCCTACTATTAGCTGGACTTCAGGGAAATAATTTTGGCATTTTTTTTGTTCCCTAGTGGAGCTTATGGTCTAGTGTAGGGGCATAGATTGTAATCTAATCACAAAGATAAATATATTTCAGAGGTAATTACTCTGAATGAAAATTATCTGATTTGGTGATTCTGGGAAGTCTTCCCTAAATGAGATAATTTTTGAAACAGGTGAGCTGGTCAGGAATTGGGCGAGGTATATGGGTAACTTGAGCAGCATGTACAAGGGTCCTGGGGACAAAGAGTCATGGGGCACTTGAAGAACTGAGAAAAGAGCAGTGAGGTGGTAGTATAGAGAGTGAAAAAGTGTGTAGGACTTGCCAATACATTTTTGAAAAATGATAGTGAAAAGAGATTTGCCCAGATATTTGAGCAAATTCTAACACTACTGTAATAAAGATGATGTGGTACTTACAAAAGAAAGGACAAGAAAATTAGTGGAACAGGGCAGAATCTAGAAACAGAAACAGACTCAAATATATATGCCAGTTTAAGATTTAATAATGATGATATTTAAAATTAGTGCCATAATAATGTATCATTGAGAAATATATTAGGATGTTATTTTTTAGAAGAAATATTATAAGAGTCCCTCTGCTAACATGTACACAAAGACATAAACTAAAGACCTCGATATAAAATGTAAACCTATGAAAATATTAGAAGAAACATAAAAACACTTTTTAAAGAGTAAACTTAGTGGGTAAAGCCATGAAATAAAAGAAAATAGTGTTTAACTGTATAAAAATTCAAAACTTCTGTATGTCAAAAGACATTATATTAACTTTCAAATCTTTATCATTCAAAAGCAAATAATAGAATGAGAGAATATATTTGTGACACATATAATAAACAAGAAATTAATAGCTTTAACAGACACAGAGCTTCTATAAATTAGTTTAGAAAGTTTAAAGAAATAAAAAGAACAAGGCAAAGAACAGGTGAAGTGTAGAAAACAAGCAAACCATCAAAGAACTACAATGGCCAAGAAATATGTGTAGAGTTTTTACCCCTCACCCTAGTGTAAAAACAATCTAAATTAAAATGGGTGGATATAATTTTCACTCATCAAATTGTTTAGAAACCTGCAATATCCAGTGCTGGTGAGAATGAAGGGAAATGAGAACTCTCATGCACCGTTACTGGAACTACATATATACATTTTGACACAGAAATTCCACATCTAGAAATGTATCCTATGGAAATAAGAGCATGACATTGTTCTGTTATCTAATTTGACCTCAGGAGCATTTCCCCATACCAGTAAATAGTCTTTGAAGCAATTATTTTTTTTACCAAATGCATAGTTTTTTCTTTTTATGGCTATGACATAATTTATTTAAGCATTCTGCTAAAATTGGGCATTAATGTAGTTTTGAATACTTTGCTTTAAGGTTTGAGACATACAGTGAATATTGTTCAGATCAAATAATGAATATTTGATCACAAATCAAATAGTGAATATTGTTCAGATCCCAATTGAAACAAATAGTAAAAAGAAAAAAACAACAACATTATGGAGATAACCTGGAAATTTTGAATATGGACTGGGTATTTGATGATATAAAAATAGTATTAATTTTGTTATATCAGCTTTCTTGGATCAGGATCACATCAGCCTCTCTACTCTTTAAGACTCTGACTTCTATCTCTGCCTGGGGAATTTGATTGTTGACCTCTATATCCTGGATTTTCAAGACAGAAAAGGCGAATAAATCATATTTCAACTGTCCTTTTGCAAGGAAGGGAAACCCCAGGGATCTAAAACTCTGTTTAGTCCCTTGGAGACCAGGGAAGGACAGAGAGTACATTCTTTAAAATTCTTTCTTATTTTGTTAAGTCAATAAGAAATTTTTTTTATTCTTTTTTTTTTATTTCGGCATATTATGGGGGTACAGATTTTAAGGTTTCAATAAATGCCTATTCCTCCCCTCCCCCCACAAGTCTGAGTTATAAGAAATTTTTTAACACATTTGCTAACCATTTGTAGTGGCTCTTGAGGACTGTCTGTTCCTATTTCCTCCATATTTATTGAACCATATTTATTGGAACCTACTGCTTTTTTAAAAAAAAATATATTAACAATTTGAATTAGTTTCTGTAATTATTTTTCCCAGATTGTTGAATAATTTTTTACTTTTTTAGGTATTCAATAGTTTTACATTTTTATGTACAAAATATATTTTTATGTACAAAATAAATGCCTTGAGATATCCAAATGAAGATGTATGGGTCCAAAGGGAG